TGCCGTGTAACTCCTATTGATCCCACGGCTGAGGCTGCAAATCTTAACTAGAGAAGAGAGCTCCATCTATCTCTCACCCGCAGAGTGGATGGTGACTTTGAAAACTGACCTTGTGGTTGTCAGTCCAACATTTTCCTAGAAACACAACTAGGGTGCCTTGTATTTCTGAACATGGTATAGTTATTATTTTTCACCAACACCATCATTCAAAAGCAGCAATTCTTTCTGGGTTTTTTGTCTTCCTTATTTATTGTCTAAATTTCACAGGCATATGAGGCAACTGACTTTGGTCACAGACTGATTTGAGTCCTCCAAGTGACATTTTTATTTTATAGCACTTTAAGGAAGTCTTTTTCAGCAGATTTACCCAAAGCAATATATCATTTGAATTATTGACTGCTGCTTCCATGTGTATTGATTGTGGATGCATTAAGATGAAATCCTTGAACATTTCACCCTTTTATCCACTTGTCATGCTGATTATTGGTTTTCTTTATGTTGTGGTGAGGAGCCCAGGTAGTTTAGTGGGTTAGCATTCAATTGTTAACTACAAGGTCAGCAGTTCTAAACCACCAGCCATTTCAAGGGAGAACGATGAGCCTTTCTAAACCACAAATATTTATAATCTCAGAAACTCACAGGGACAATTCTCCTCTGTCCTACAGGGGCGCTATGAATTGGCATCAAGTTGATGTCCGTACGTTCTTGAGATACAACGCAAACTAAAGGCTGTGGCCATTGATCTTCATCAATAAGTGCTTCAATCCTTCCTCCAATCCCGGTGGCATGTGCTTCATAGAGTCCATTTTCTCAGACTTTTGCTTAATATACTGGTTGAATAAGGATATTGAAAGGATTAAACATTTCCTGATTTCAAATCACACAGCACCCCCTGCTTTTGCTAGAAAGATTATTCCTTTGTTTGTGTACAGTGTCGGCAGGAACACACTTCAGACTTTTAGGATCCCCTTTTCACAGTGTTATCTATAGTTCATCATGATCCATCTGGTTGCATACATTTATTTAGACGGGATTGAGTAATTTCTAAGGTACCATTTTCCTCAGTGTAGTAAATACAAATTTAGTTGCTAAGTGCATGTTGGTCATTGCAGCCCATCGGCCTCTCTGAGGATGAAAGGTGTAGAAACATGCTTGCATAAGGAGTGCAACCTTTGCCACTGCATGGCCCAGTTCTAGTATTCCCCACAAGTTCAAATGAATGATGTATTGCCCTGGTGGCCACAGGTTCGGTGTTTTGGTATTCTTCATCATTCCCATGGGAGAGAAATGTGGCAATCTGTTGCCAGGGAGATTGAGAGCCTTGGGAGTCCCCTGGGGCAGCTTCATTCTGCTCTAGATGGTCACTGGGAGTCAGGATCAACTTAACCGCAGTCGATTGGTTTTCCTTTTCTCCATTAGCAATCCTTCCTTCAAGAGGTAGCTTTAAATAGTTTTAGAATGATCTCCTTTTTATGGTTTTAATACTATGCATAGGTTAGATGTACAAACCTCCTCGCTAATTCATACACCTTTTAAAATTTCTAATCTGATTGATTGAATATGACATATGTGTTCCTTTCTCCATCATTTCTTCTACTGCGGTATAAATGCTAACAATTAGCGTATGTGCATTCAAGAAAGGAACATGTGGTGAATATAAGAAAAGGGCACTCGGATCATTGAAGCTTGTCTCTTTTAATACCCCTTTCCCCTCCCCCGGACAGTATTGATTCTAATTGCTTTTTGAAAGACCTTGTGTCTTTGCTTCAGCAACTTTTCTAGTTGAGCAAATAATCCATTCCCTAACATTAACCCCAAATCACAACCGACAAAAATTCAAATCAATATGATCATTTCATTTATTTGGGCTGGTTAATATTTTTCATGCATTGATAATGTTTATTTGTGAAAGGCTATAGCTATTTCTTTTTTTTTTTTTTTTAGCTATTTCATATAAAATACATTTGGATGATGCTTTCAGTTAAAAAGAGATGGGCATTTCAGCAATTAGATGCCACAATGTGTGAATTATCCAGTTTACCTATCATTATTGATAAAATTGGCAATATCTTTTCCAAATCTTTATTTTAAATGTTTTATGCAGATACAGTTTGCATTGAGAATGATAGATTAAGATTAAATTAAAGTAATTTTGGATTTTCTTTCATGTCGTGACATACATAGGCAACTAAATGTAAGTGTTGTGTTATACTCTGCCTGGAACGTTTGCTAATGTTTTTGAAGAGTAAATGACTAATGCCACAGTTGCTTGAGTGGCACACATAAAGAAAACAATCATCTTGTGGGATCTTCAATATTTTCAGGGATAATATCTTTAAGATTAGTTAATCAGATACACACTTTGGTACTATATGCATTACAGCAAAGCTCATCATCTTGTAAATGAAAATCTTTCCAAGTAGTGATATAATAAGGTTCTCTATTAGCACTGTAGATCAGGTAGTAAGTGATTAAACATGAGTTTTATAGTTCAAACCTGTCAGCTGCTCAGTGGGGGAAAGGTGAGGCGGATTGCTCACATAAAGATTTACAGGTTCAAAAGCCTTCCTTACATAGAGTCTATATTATTCAATGGCAGTGAGTTTGGTTTTCATCTGATTGGTCTAATAAGTGTATTTCCTATCATATTCTGTGAACATGACTTAAAAATTATACCGTATATACTCAAGTACAAGCCGACCCAAATATCTGCTGAGGCACCTATTTGTACTACAAAAACTGCATTAAAAATGTGCTGAACCAAGAAACAACAAAGCCCACATGGAAGAAGCACACCAGCCTGTGAGATCACAAGAGACCGATGGGATCAGGTATCAGGCATTGAAAACCAAAAAAAATCATAGCACTGTGAATGAGGGGGAATGTGGAGTGGGGACCCAGGGTCCATCTGTGGGCAATTGGACATCCCCTTGCAGAAAGGCTGCGGGGAGGAGATGAGCCAGTCAGG